TTTTTTTTATGGACACCCTGTGTATTAGCAGAGCAAATGCATTAATATATAAAAATCATTACATACCATGGACCAAATAGAATTTATCCCAGGAATGCAAGATTAGTTTACCATCTATAACATATGAATAGAATAAAGTAATTACCATAACATATGAATAGAATAAAGTACAAAAATCACATGATTATCTCAATAGGAGAAAAGACATTTGCCAAATCCCACAATTTTTTTTTTTGAGACAAAGTCTTATTGTGTCACCCTTGGTAGAGTGCCGAGCCATCACAGCTCACAGTAACTTCAAACTCTTGGGCTTAAGGGATTCTCTTGCCTCAGCTTCCCAAGTAGTCGGGCCTACAGGTGCCCGCCACAGTGCCCGGCTATTTTTTGGTTGTAGTCGTCATTGTTTGGCCACTGAGCTACAGGCGCTGAGCCCATATCCAACATTTTAACTAACTCTCAACATGGGAATAGAAGGGGACTTCCTTAACTTGAAAAAAGGCATCTATAAAAAACTACAACTGGGCTGGGTGCGGTGGCTCATGCCTGTAATCCTAGCACTCTGGGAGGCCCAGGCAGGTGGACTGCCTGAGTTCAAGAGTTTGAGACCAGCATCTCTACTTTAAAAAAAAAAGAAAAAATCAGCCAGGGCAGCGCCTGTGGCTCAGTGAGTGAGCCCTGGCCAAACTGCAACAACAACAACAACAAAATAGCTGGTTTGATTGTATTAATGTACACAGCTATGACTTAATAAAAAATAAAAATAGCTGGGCGTTGTGGCCGGCGCCTGTAGTCCCAGCTACTTGGGAGGCTGAGGCAAGAGAATTGCTTAAGCCCAAGAGCTGGAGGTTGCTGTGAGCTGTTGAAACCACAGCACTCTACCGAGGGTGACAAAGTGAAAAAAGAAAAAAAAATCAGCCAAGTTTTGTGGTGGACCATTGTAGTCTCAGGTGCTTGGGAGGCTGAAGCAAGAGGATCACTTGAGCCCAAGAGTTTGAGGTTGCTGTGAGCTATGACCCAGGGCACAAAGTGAGACTGTCTCAAAACAAACAAAAAACAGTATTCGCAATTGTAAACAATACTTGAAAACAATTCTAACTACTATAACAAAGAAAGCCTTCTGAGATAGTTTCTTTTCTGAGGCATCATATTGTTTGTTTTAGGGTAGAAGAAACAAGTAAGTGCAAAGACTGGTAGTTTCCAGCATGGTGCTTCAGGACAGGATAGGAGCCAATGTGGCGGGAGTGAAGTGGCAAACGTGTGGGACAAGTGGAGACAGAGGTCGGATCACGGAGGCTTCACCGGCTTCCTGAAGGGAGAGCAGTTAAGTATTACAGTGAAGGTTCCAGCAACCGGTTTGAGTTCAAATACTGACAGTGCCACTTTCCAGCTATGTGACTTTGAGCCAGTTGCTTAACTGCCTCAGCTCTGCATCCATACTTTGGGGAGAATACTAGCATTCATATCATGGTGAAGATTAATATACGTACCAGCTTTAGAGTAAGCTCACTGTTTCGGGCTCAGAGCATTGCTAGGAGAAGCGGGATGTTCGAACCAGCCCGGAGTGCTCAGGTGCTCTCACTTACCCACAGATCCAGCAGTCACTATGGTAACGGCCACTTACTTCCGGAAGAAGTACGGCGTGCGGCGAGGGTCAATTTCAGACTCAGCCTGACCCTGTGCGAAGCTGAGCAAGAAGCTGCGGACCGACAAGTTACGCGTCCTGGAGGTTCTGGGGTGTCGCGTCGGTGGCCAACCCGCGGTGCTCTCGCAGGCTCGCCAGCTCCTGCGTCCTCGTTGCTGTCCTCAGCTGGCTCTTTAAGCCTGGACTCCAGACTTCAGGCCGTGCCGCCATGGACTTCTCCAAGTTCCTGGCCGAGGACTTCGACGTGAAGGAATGGATCAATGCGGCCTTCAGGGCTGGCCCGAAGGAGGCGGCGGCCGGGAAGGCGGACGGCCACGCAGCCACTTTGGTTATGAAGCTACAGCTGTTCATCCAAGAGGTGAACCACGCCGTGGAGGGTGAGCCGCGCGGGGCCCTGGCTGGGGGCCCGTGCCTTCCTGGGCAAAAGTCTCCGAACGGGGCATGGGACGCCGGCTGGTGCACGTATTGGGCAGTAATATCTGTGCCTTTTTTTTTGAGACAGAGCCTCAAGCTGTCCCCCTGGGTAGAGTGCCATGGCATCACAGCTCACAGCAACCTCCAACTCCTGGGCTCAAGCG